CTTTGCCAGTTAATGACTTCAACAACAGTTCAGGCTGCTGCTTTCTTGGCACACTTTGGGCCCCTTTTGTAGCAAATGAGGATTGTTTAAATGCCACAGTCTGTCTGAGTGCTGATGCTGACTATTTCAAATCTGTGAAGAATGTTTCCAGCATCTTGTTAAATCCATGCCACCAAGAATTGAAGCAGTGCTGAAGCCAAAACTGAAGTTGCTGATGATTCCACTTTAGTTCCACAATTCCTCTGATACCGGTGCTCAGTGCTGTGTTTTGACTACTTTGAGGACCCTCAAGGATAAATCCTAGCTTAACGCTGACTTTGCAGATACTACTCACTGGTGGCTGAGTGGGAACTGCATGGTGATTTTTCCATGCAGAATGAAAAGTGAGGAGAGTTAACCTGAATTGATCGCACTCACTCGAAACTCTCTAGCTTTAAATGGACGGTTTGAAACCCCAGACACACTGAGCACAGCATCTGCCGTGGACGTCACACCAGGATCCCCCTGATCAGCTGGCTTCAGGTTGTTGATTCCCAATCAATTTGCTCATGACAACAAAAAAGCTCGGATCGTTTCGCCCCTGCCCCTCAGAGTGAGTTTGCACAAATCAAACCTTGTGCTTGCAGAACCTCCACCTCTGACTGTTCTCCACACAAGGGCCACGGAAAACTGAGACATCACATTACGTCACCTCTTTATCAGTCTGCCCCTCTGTTCCTTTTACAAATATTTATAACAAAGGAGGATAGTTCAAGCACAAGCGCCATTATAGCAGTAACCTTCTCTTATTCCACAGAATATTGAGCCATCTTGGCGTGGGCATAAATCATTCTTGACTGAATGCTACAGATTGTATGGAAATAAAACCGTTATTCATTTTTTTAATTATCCATTAATAGAAATGATCAACAAATACCGTGGAGAATGTTTGCTACAGAATCTGCCACAGCAACTTGAAACTACAGGAGGAGGAGAACATGCAGGAATGGAGCTGCAAAGTCTCTTTAACCACCTACTCTGTCCTTGCTTTTGAAATCAGGTGTACAGTCTGCAGGGTTTTATTCGGGCTTTTCAGGCCACACCATCTTCCAAGGAGACGCGTCGGAAACGCCGTCCAGTCATCACGGCTGTCACTCAAGTTTGGGGCAGATATATAAGCGAGACTTCCTCCCCCAGTCAGCCGGACTGCACCTGCTGATCGCCACACACACCCACACTCACACACACACTTGATTAATTAAAACAACTGAAGTTGTTACAGTGCACGTTAATGAAGGGTTCGGAATGCATGGCTGTGTTTGGTGTCCGTAAACCTATAAGCGTGGATTTGTGTGAGAAGCGCGCATCTCTCCACAGACGCACAGAAGCTCCGAGCTGGATATTCCGTGCGCTGGAACACTGAGACATCTGTAGACGGTAGGTGTGCTGCTTTGGCTTGTAATGTTGTGCAAATTTAAATTGACAAAGTCTAACTGCACCTAAAGTCAGCACGTCGAGTGTGAAAAGAGCGGAAATGATGCAGGCAGGATGCAACGTGCTTTTTCTCCTTGGAGACATTCGAAAGTTATTTAGAGGATTTTTAATTACTTGCGTTTTGTCATCGGTATGTCCGACAGTTTTATAGCTGTCAGTCCACTCGCTTTATCTGCGTCGAGGTATTCCAGAGCTGACCGTGTCCGCGAGTCTCCACTGTAAATATTTCCAATGCCTTTAAATGGTGATATGTTCTTTAAAGTGTATGAGATCACGCTACTGGTACCAGCGTGCGTTATTATTATTTTCTCTCCTTTTTTTTCTTGGCATAAGGAATACGGGAGTGTTAAAACAAAAACTAATAAAAAAGAAATATCGGGTCTTTTTGGCGCAGGAAATGAGCTGTGTGCCAAAAATCTCTGACCTATTTTTCCTGTAACATTTTTCCTGTGGACAAACGTGTTACATTCATTTACTCTCACTCTCGTCCATTGATAAACAGCGTGATTCACTGTTCGACTCATATGTGAGTTTTCTCTGCCCACTGTTCACAGTGTGGTGTGACTTCAGCACATAAATTGCTGCAATCTACGGTGTTCAGATATATAAACAATTAACTAAGGATCACAAAAGCAAGCACACAGGCAAAAATATCGGGCAAATTCTCTAAAATCGAGAAAAACCAACCCAAATTTTTTAATCTTTCTTAGAGACACAACAGTGTGGGGTTGTTTACTGGTTACTTGAGATATTGTGATTGACTGCCGTCCTTACACTGCACCTTCTGGCCATTTTTCCCCTGTAATATTTCCTGGCAGTTCAAATATTCAGCCTCCACTGCTGGTTTTTTCTTCATCAACATAAAATTCGTACACAGTCTTGGCCAAATGTGTCCTTGCTGGGTGAGTTTACTATAGTGCATATATTATCCTGCGTTTTTTTTTTTTTTTTTTTTTGGCATGAATCATTTAAATTCCCTCACTTGAGTAATATATATGGTGAACTGATTTAACAGGGACCAACACCTCCTGTGCTGACCACATAAACACTGCACATACATGGTGCATGGGGCGATAATGGCATGAGTCATCCGGCAGCATTTGCTTTGATATTGAGTGTTTGCATGGAAGTTTTGTGGAAATGACTGAAAGGCATGTGGCTCCACGAGAGCCTACTCGTCTGAGTTACACTGAAGTAATAACCCCAGTTCATTTTGGTTTCTGCATGTAGTTAGTCAGTGAATTGTCACCGTAGTCTAATAAAAGGAATTCGCTTTCAGCATAGTGGGGTTTTTGTTTTTTGTAGCTACACAGGAGGAAAAAAAATCATTTACTTCAAGGACAAGATAAATAATTTGACAAAGGCTCATGAAGCTGTTCAGCCTGTCTGCAGGCCTGTAATAAAAGGAAAAGCGTTCTCAATCACTTTGCCTGTTCTTGTTTGCACATGTCTTCCTTGGCCAAATTTTACATTTCACTGTGCATGTTGAACTGTACTTGACTCTGTTTATGATGTCATCTCTGTAGGTTCACACCATCCTTTGAAGATGGAGGTTTCGGGCAGTGGGTGGGCAGCTGAGTTCACCCCTCCGTGTGTGACACAAGCTGCAAATGGAAATGACTCTGGTCAGGTGTTTGAGGTGGCGCTGCAGAACAGCTCCTCCAAGCGCAGCCCCCAGTTTGCGGGCGTGGAGCTGCTGCAGTCCTTCAAGCTGCTAATCATTCCCTGCTACACCCTCGTGGCTCTGGTGGGCGTCTTTGGCAACTACCTGCTCCTCTACGTCATCTGCCGCACTCGCAAGATGCACAACGTCACCAACTTTTTCATTGGAAACCTGGCTTTCTCTGACATGCTGATGTGTGCTACGTGTGTCCCCTTCACACTGGCCTACGCCTTCAACCCACACGGTTGGGTGTTTGGTCGCTTCATGTGCTAC